TGTCAAAAGTCGGTGAAATACTCGTCGGCAATAATCCATTTTAAAGTGTAAATTTTTAATTGTTCGACGTATAAATAATTCGTACAATTATTTAGCTTATTATTAATACTACATTTTAAAATGAACATATTATTGCAATGTCTGTTTAGAAAAATACAACACGATAAAAGAACGTTTTTACTCGACCTTCAAATACATTTTGCTCTGACCTAGTAACCTTTCTCAGGTAGATAGTACCGTCATATTTGCACTTTTAGTCTGTTCTGGTAGTATTCTAATTTCTAATCATGTACACTAACTCGTGTTTAATATCTTCATACTGGTAATTATCAGGATCCTACGTTTGCTGTGCACCAGCAAAGACTATGTTAGCTGATTTTTTTTTAAACGAGTAAATAACACGAGTAACGTTAGTCGACAAACGAGGATCGTTAGAGCTCCGTAGAGTTTCACGATTTCTGTATTAGATTCCGTGCATCACGTGATGGAAAACAATTATGATAGTGCAACAAAAGGACAGGGGTTTCCCCGCCGATGCAAATGATAATGTGTTATTGACCATCGAATTATCACGGTGTTATCAAATCAAAAAGTAAACAGAGATAAATCGAGAGAAATCTCGATGACGATGACGAGAAACAGAAGAAGCATGAAACGTTTGCGATTTATCAATATGACAGATGAAAGTTACATATCTCGCCGGGTTGAAAATTCTCTGAATTGAAGATGGTATTCGTATTGCAGCACGAATCGGCTGAAACGATGTTCCTCGGGGTAACTTAATCGCGTTCTGCATTAAAAGCAAAAAATTACTCAGTAAAGAGTTGTCGGGTAGCAGGAAGAGCGTCTACGAATCAGAATACTACATTACGAAATTTCATAAATTCTCTTTATGATGGCTCTTAGACGCTTGGGGCTTCGTCAGGACCTGTGTTTTTCACTTGAAATAGTAATGAACCGAGTGAACATGAATTCGTATGACTGCCTATCCACTCCACGTCTGGTACGATCGGAAAATAACATCATACTCGAAGAAATGCGAATTACTCGAGTTAAAAATAATACGCGAATATAGAAAATATTCCTACGATTTTATCTATGATTTTTATTTTTAATATTAGTTTTTTTTTAGATAAACTTGAGAAAATGGCCAATAGTACTCGCCACCAGAGGGCTACGCTCTCGTCTCTCTCGCAAGCGCTCGACTGACCCCTCCGTTTCAAGACCAGCTAGAAATCCTTAATAAATTGCTAACGAATAATATTTATGAGTTGTTAACGTTAGGTTTCTGGAATCTGAACGCGTCGAATTGACGTGTTCCGGTAAACCTAGCATTAAGGGTCGCTGTTGCATACGCAGGGATCATCTTCTCTCATCGTCCAAAGCATTAACCCTTTCAGGACGGTATGGTCGCCATTCAGAAATCATTCGCAGCGGTCGAGTGTCCCAGGTGACGTAGGAAACATATTGGTTGATCGAGGCTTCGGCCACTGCAACCGTCCAGTACTGAAAGGGTTAAGTACCCTTATGGACTATCGACCAGTCGCTGGCGACCACTAGGTTCGCAAGAATATACAGTCGAACCTCGATTATTGCATGAGAACCTTGTCCGTTGCATGATATCGGCAGGTGGAGGGGACAGTCGCTAAGTAACAAGAAAAGTACTATAGAAGACCATAAACGTGGCTCATAAGTAACGTAAAGGTACACTGTCCGAGGCTACTTGTCGTTAGATTGATTAAAAACCAAAGTATTGCTCAGACCTTTCATCAAACTGCTAATAATCGTGAAAAAATTGTAATTATTATTCTCTAAAAACATGGTCAATTTGCAGGAGTTTGAGTCGCGGGCAAAACGAGGCAGAAGTAATAACGATTGAAACGAAATTCTGTTTTTGGAAGAGGGAGAAGCATCGGACAAACGGGAAAGACAGAAGAGACGAAGTTCTCCGTAGAAGTTTTACTGATAATTAACTAAATTTACCAAGGGTTGCGAGTCAAAGTGTGAAGTCGTGTTCCAAGTCTTTCTGCACTTTGACGCTCCACTACGCTGGTTAATAACAAATGAGCCAAGCTTCGCCCCCTTCACTATTGTTATAATCGGAGACACCTGCTCCCTTACAGTAACTGTCTACCACTCTCTATTATTCAGCAGATTCGTTTGAACCATTCCAAACATTGCTTGGATCTGCTTTCCAGTTTCAATCTTGATATCCTCGATATTTGTTGACGTTCCACGCGATCCATCCTCTTACAGGAGTCAAATAAAACCTCGCAAGGTTCATTTCGCAGATCGAAATTATAATTCTCGAAAACACGATCGGGGGCAGGCGTTTGTCGTCGATCAATTTTCCAGTTTTTGTTGGTTTATACGTCTCGATCGTGGAAACGATCTACCATGTCCCGTATAATTCCGCGGAGCGGAGTTTTGCGGTTGATTTACAATCGGTCGGGCTCGCAGCTTCCCTGATAATCAAACGGGAGGCTCGAATTGGATTTGTACGATGCGCGGCACGACTGTGTCCCTATATCCGAGAGTGCAGCGCGTGCATTCACCGGTTACGCCGAATCGTGGATACCAAGGAAAATCAATTAGCCGGGCAAACTGTTTCGACTGCGGCTGTTTGCCCGGGCAGGAGTCGGCAATGTATTTCGTCTCGAAGCTGGAATACGTGTTTCTCTACGGCGCGTGTGCCGCTGCTGCGTGTGCACACACCACCCTCTCTATTTACAACCGATGCATTGCACACGCCGCACACACGTACAGCCCTTGTAATACTAACTTTTCCATGAACGTTTCTGATTACATACGCGATTACCCGCAGAATCAGAATTAAAAATTGTTCCGGGGAAATTGAAACGCTTCTAATAACGGGGAGCGCTTGCGAGAGAGAGAGGGACAAGAGCGTGGCCCTCTAGCGGCGAGTACGGGAGATAACGCCACACGCGAAAACACCGTAAAGCTTTCGACTTTCTTTTATTCGACCTTACGGTGTAAATTGAGAAGTTATTTTGCAATTAACAATGGAAAATTCGTGTGCACACGCCTTCGATGTTATCCAAGCTTTGTGTATTTACAGTCGATGCACTGTGCACATACAGCTTGCTGCAAAACACACACACGACCGTCAGGTGTATACAGGCGTTGATTGCTGATATACCGTATGCGCCCGCGAAAGCCGTAGATGCATACATGCAGGCATATGTGCGCTGCATCGGCATAGAACTACATCGATACGTCGTTGAAAATTGACGAAACAATATTTTTCTCGCGGTGATTGCAAATGTACGTACGCATATAGATCTATCGTTCTGATGTGTACGGTGCTTTGAATAATTAGCAACTGGCAATTTCGGGTTTCACTCGTCGATGTATAAAACAATGTTTCGAATATAAGCTATGAAATAACGAACGAGATAGAACAATATAAATCGCCATTTTTCAGCTCCAACTGTTTCTCGATTGCATATCGAAACAGTTCGCCAGTTTCTCAAATATTTTCGACTTTCTAATGATCGTTATTCTCTGAAGGAGACTACGAAATTGTATAAAGCAATTGGCGGAACAAGTTAAAAGAACTACGATTTAACGAAGACGAGAATATGATATATTAATGTTGACTGCGATGGGTAGAATGACATAATCATTGTCATCGGTAGCAATCGAACTCAGAATTGCCCGACGCTTTAATGAGAACGATATTGAATTACCTAGTTCTGCGCGAATCCTAAAATGACTCATTTAATTTGTGACGCCAGCGTCGCGACGCCGGTATGGCCCGATTCTGTCAATCTTAGCGGTACGCTTTAAATATACATATCACGCGATTGCTGAGAATAAAATATGCAAGTTAGATGAATATTAAATCCTGTTGACAGATAAACTGCACTGATATACACAGATTTCTGGCCAGTATTAAATATTTCCCCGCATAGGTGATTAGTTTCCAAGCCTAAAGGAATTCAACAACCGCTAAACCGATGTAATTAAACGATTGTTCCTTGCTCTTCATTTTTTTTTTGTTTTTTACGATTTACAAACGTTTTACATATTTCATTCTTGCGTTCTACGGTGTCTCGAACACGTGTTTTCAATTTATTTCCATCGAAGAACTCGTACGAAATTTATTAGGGCGGTAAACAAACGTTTCGATGCTAAGACCAGACGGTGCAATTTATTAATTCAAAGTTTTAATTTTAGCTGCAAACTTTCATCGTCGGATATAATTTACGACACATTATAATTGAATTTCGAGAGGATCCTAATTAGTTTATAAGAAAATAAAATGAAATTATAACCGTGGAACTAAAATTACAAATATTTAAAATTCTTTCGTTTTTTGTAAAGAAGTAAAATAACAGAAAAATATTTTACCCTATTCTATTTATGAGACTAATTAAAACATTGTTTTAATATTTTTTCTCGAAAATAGCAACGAGAAAGTAATATAAAGTCTTTCCAAGTAACAATGATCGATTTTAATTTTAAATGGACGAAAAATTAAAATTTCGTTTAAAGCATCGTCCCCTTTTTTGTACATCGCGATCTATTCGTAATAGGAAATTGGGTTTTACGCGATATATATTTCTCCCGTAATAGTTCATCTTCATCGCGCGATGCGAAGGTAAAAGGTCTATGATAAATGTGCGCGAGATTGCTCCATGAGTAATTAATATTGATGACAACTAGTCTAGACAGACTGTCGAGGTTAAAGCTTGACGTTGGCAAATTTTACCAGCTTTCCATTCTTGATTTAACTTTTAAGTACTCGACACCTATTGTTGGGGAGTTCAATGACATTTAGCGCGTATAAAAAGACCGAAAACGAACGCAATTAAACACGCAATTAACGAATGTAGCTGTTTCGTAATTACCAGGGTCTTGATAAACGTAGATAAGCGTTTTTTAAATGTCAGAAAACTCCCAAGTAATTAAACACATTGATTATCGTGTTCGAAGGAAAGTAGAACGCTTGCTAAATCAACGTTTTTGTTTTTCAGAGTCGTATATTGGAAGATGCTTCCATTATGTGCAACTCCTGGTCACCAAGGCATAACGTGAGTACACGATACAACCACTAATTTTCTTCTTGAATGATTTATAGTAAATATCGTGAAAGAATACACCCTTTGACCGTTGGAAGAGTCAAAGCAGGAATAAATATGGAGCCAAACGCGCGTTGCAAATAACAACCGTCGATGGGGGTGGAAGTAAATAATAATAGGTGGAAAAGCCAGGTGGAAATAGAGAGAAAATATATGCGGGAAACGCGGAGAAAGAGAATAATTTTAAACTCTGTTCCGTCATGCGAAGTGTTTCATAATATTTATGCTTTATGAAACCGCGTAGTTATGGCGGCCTGGCTGACATAAACTTGCTAACTCGTGGTTACGATTATGGCCAGTAGTAAATTGATTATCTGGATATATGATGAGGCGGACCGAGATAGTTTGAGTGCCACGAAAAGAGCTACAGCTTCCGAAAAACCGTGAAACAAACAGAAAAACCGTCGGAACAACTTGTCGATATTAATTATTGGATTCGAATCTATAATCGATTCTATTAATAAAAATCTGAATTCGCATAAAGATCCGGGGTCTAATAATTACAAACAGTCTGTTATGATCGAACTTTTGCATCGGTCGAATGGTGTTTTGTAATAGGACATCGGATTTCGCAGTTCTTGTCGTTGATACACCGGTAATTGCGTTGTTTAATGAACGGGGCCATCAATTATTAGGAAACAATATCGAATAAAACCGGGGAGCGACAAGTCGCGCGTCCCGGCAGACACCGGAGAGCTAGCTTCCTGCAGGAAAATATCGAGCGCGATGTAAATTTAGATTGTTTCTAAATCGATGGAGGCGACGGTGGGATTTTAGTCGTGTCTGTGTCACAAGTGAAACTGAATTTGATCATGGGGGAACGGCACCGCGGAGATATGTATACTCGGTTACTCTAGACACCAGGTACTCCGCCATGCAAGTGATAATTCGAACAGTCTGCTCGTTCTCGTGTTAGACGTCAGATTTTCTGGAAGAATTTATTTATTCATGCGTCAGACTACTTCGCGATGTAGGTTATCAGACGGAAATAATATAATTGTCCCAATTTGTGATATCCATTGGCCGTCGGTTCGAGAGCGATCTGCATTTAGACCCGAGTAACCATCGTTTTAATCGCTAAATCTTAACCGAGTAATATTTTCGATTTGAATTTCTACATTCCTATTTTTCCTTTACATTCGTTAAAAACTATAACGATCCTGAAAAAAACTTAGAATGCCTAGATTTATCAGGCACAGTGATAAAGACAAATTAGTATCACATATGCACTCGAGTCTCATAATCGCTATCAAGGGGGTGAAATAATTATTTGGAAAATAGTTAACCGGAGATTAAGTTGAAGCATTGCTCGGTAACGTGCACTAGGTTGGGAAGTTAATCATCGTTGGCTTCTCGCAAATCAGCCTGGACACATAAATTACACGGGTGGCTTGTGGGGCGCGATAATTCAATTGTAATTGGCTAATCTTTAACGTGGCCGAGGTGGAAGACGTATTTAACGGGTGGGTCGGTTGCAGGCAGCTCGGAAAAATGACTCTATTAACCACGGGGACGTGCTGAACCGTGCTCGAAGGGGGACTCCGTAGAAACTTTGCTAAACAACTGCACGAGGTGCTAACTACGCAACTAACAAGAGCAATCTGTATCAGTTGGCCAACATTGCCGTCGCTTTTCTTATCTCTACCGGCACATACAAGTCTCTGTAGTAACTTTTACGTGTCGTGCAATTCTACCGGTTCATTCGGTAGTTTTTCACGCCAAGTAAACATTTATACACCTGTTCTTGGTGTACCTGCAATGATCCTAGCTTTTGTCATTGGTTCGACAAAGCAATTAATAGAATTCTACACGATTCGATCACCTAGATAGATAGAGAGTGCAAGACTAAAGTTACCCCATCTTGAAGATCTTCTCCCTCGCTTTAAGAGAAAACGCGATTTAGGATTTATTGGCCTATTAACACTTTGTTCGAGCAAAGCATTCGTATCCATCAGCAACACTCTCTATTACGCAACAAATGGTTTACGTAGCTCGTTCTTACACGTCAATTATCGTACATTACGAGAGAAGTCACTTTGTCTTGTACAACTGTTCTATGAACGTCTTAAATAAATCGTAAAATTATGAGCTTGTACGTTCACTGATTTTTTAATGCAACTAAAATAAATGTGAAGAAATATTTTTTCACGGTGGAGAATTAAAAAGAAAATGTTCGGTAAACCGGTGATTTTCTAGAACAACGGAAAAACTGATAGAGGAACTTCGGAATTAGAAAAAGTGGCGGTAGTTCAGCAACCTACAGACAGACAGTACGTACACGTACTCCTCGAAGACCCGAGGAGTTCATAAATAATCGAAGCGCTGAAGTACGACGGTAGTTTTCACATGAAATATTGATCGACCGATGCGGACATTACAGTTTATAATGAAATAAGTGGATAACGAATCGCGTTTAACCTCACTTAATACAACCAAACGAACAAAACTCTTCAATGAATTCTCCTTCCACTTAATTCATAATTTATTAGGACGTTGGACACACTTTTATTTAAACGTTTACATAGAAGAAAGGCCAAATATTTATTCATTATGTAAATTTTAAATTACCTTTTACATACGCTCGTGTGTGTACATATATTTGAGCAATGTTTAAAGCATTGTACATCATGTGTGTATAATGCTTTTGTGACGCGTGTGGTATTATACTTGTGTGTTAGGAGTCCGGGGGGGTGTGTGCACGCGCCTTTTGTATATCGATCATGTTATACGCGCCACAAAAAGTATTATATAGACGTCAGAAAATTCACACGAACCACATAATTACAAAACATACGCTACCAAAATAAAACTCTAAGAAACGTGCTGGAAATACTAAACAACAAAAAAAAATTGACACAAATATTACACTCACACCCGTTTCATTCTTCGGAGGAATTATTTTTAAAACGTTTAAAGTCTAACGTACACTGTTTTCCATTATTGAGTGAAAAACAATCGCGACGATGCGAATTGATTGTAACAGATTCATACAACTTTGATGAAACTCTGAGGTGCACAGGATTTCCGTTAAATTGTTTTGACAATGAATCGACCTTTATCGATATTTAATAAAACGAAGAAGAGCAGAGATCGATATCACTATTTTAAGGCGTTCCAACTTTGTAGTCCGTGCCACGAAAGTTTTCACACATTTTTATGAAAACATTAATACTGTTTTGAGCACTTTCGTTGAACTCTTCTCGATATAAGAACCTCGTATCTTGTGGTAGAGACTATTAAAGTAAAGTAAAATTGTTTTAGCAATGATAAACTCAAATTATAAACAATATTTAACAATATTATATTATTATTGTATAGCAAGATTTTAAATTCATTCGCGAGAGAATATTAGAGATTACAAAAATTTCATTCAGCATTTGTTTTCGTTTGAAGGAGGTCTGAATTATTGATATTACCTCTTTCTTCTATGAATGGTTCTATTTCTTCATTTCTAAGAAAAGAAAAGTGCAAAACAAACAAACCGCAGACGGCTAAGGCTGTCACTTATGGCCAATATGAAAGTTTCCAGATATACTTAAATGCATAACTTTTATTTGATTGTGTCTTGTAATTTTTTTAATTAATGGTATCTAACGTTCACAAAGTTTCTACGAAACCCTTACGATTCTATGAATCGTGACACGATATGGGTGAAAATTGACCCACCTTCTTTGGAGGACTATTAATTGTTACACAAACTCGATTAGACTCTGTGTAAACGTTTAAAAATTGGCTATAAAAATTTTTGACGTTCGGTTATTTTTAATAAAATTGCTTCGCATCGTTGCTTTGATTTTTCTCGAATAATGTGACGATATTCCTCGTGTAACAGAACCTTGCAATGCGCTACTAGTGACAGATGCGGTTGACGTAAAATATCCCATATAATATCGATTGCCACAGTATAGAGAAGTATCCGAATAAAACGAAACCATGGTTTCGTTTCACAACTGTCATTAATATATCGCTGAAACAGAGATAGTTTACCTCTGCACCCTCATCTATCCTTTGTTTATTGTTGTTAGAGTTACACATTGATATCGAATGGTACAAAGCATATGCTACATCATCGCGTTTACAAAAATTATTTAATCGTTTAGTTATTGAAATTAGTAGTGTAATAACATGTGCATATAGAAAGCAACTTTTTCTAAACATAAACAAGAAACACCAGACCCTTTATCTCGCACAGTTTTAGCAGCACATCTACCCTAAAATAACCTGTCCAACGACCCCCTTTCGACATTTGACAACCAAACGAATTCGATTAGCAAACCTTGTACGTCACGCGTAGTCGCGTTTGGAATAACATTAATTTAGCTGACCAAATCGTAATTGCGAGTCTAATTGTATCTCATACGTATCAACGTATCCCTCTTCGATCATGCTATCACTTATAATTATCGATGATAATAATTACACAAAAATATAAAATATAAAGTATCTCGTGATTTTTATCACCAAAAAGAAATATTATATAAAATTTGCGAATAAACGTTTGCCAGGAATATTGTAAAAATAATATTTTTTGTTAATATTGAATTTAAAGTCGAATGATCCGTGTCAGGATTTATTACATCAAACGTGCATTGATTTAGTGTTATCAAATTATTGGTAACGCTGGTAAAATTAACATTGGTTGAACTTTCAATTAAATTGAACCTTCATGAAAGTCTGGGAAAAGCTAAACTCAAGTTTCCAGTGTCAAAACTATTTTAAGAGTATCGATCGCACGGCCATGTTGAGTACGCAGAGTGACCTCTGACTCTCTGACAAGGTACTTTTATACAAATGAACCGCGTATTTTTTCCACCCCCCCACACACACACACACGTATACGAGAGTGGCACAAATTTTCGACAAATAATATTTTCATGCATGCTGTCGATTATAATCACGAGCATTCAGGCGGTCACCAAATCGAATCTTTAACAGAATTTCATTCGTAATTTCTAATAAAAACAAACCCTTATTTCCATTGCATTATATATTATATTCTAATTTCTTTGGTACAAAATGATATCTGTTTTATAGATATCCCCATAGGAACATATGTGAGATAGAAAGGCGGTGTTTTAGGGGAGGGGGAGTTAAGACGAAAAATGTGGAGATCGAGCACTATCCGAGACGTTACAAGATTTCTCTGATGCGATTTAAATTCGTTTAAAAAAGACGAGAGGCTTTTGAAGACCGTTAGTTCGGTTCGAGGCACGATCCGTGATTCTTCAATCAGTGTCACGTGTCGCTTTTAACGTTTCAGGGTGACTTATTCGGGGGCTTGAACAGCGGTCTACAAGACGGCTTACTTTCGAGAGCGGAGGCTTTGGCTGCGGATTTGGGAAAACACAACGCTGGCACCCCAATGCCTTTGAAGCACGACCCTGTCTCCGTCTATCATCATGGAGCCCACATGCCAACCCCCCATCCAAATAACCGGCCGCATCATCAGGTACATTCACACCTCTTTGTGAGTTTGCTTTTTTGACATATTATACTGATATCTCTTACGAATCCACCTACTTCCTACCTAGCATATAATTTACCGGATCTCTTAATTAACAAAATCATCCAAACACGGTTGTAACCATCAAGAATTTCATAAAACAAAGTTGCAATGCAAAAACTAAACGTAACTTTACGCACCCGGGCGCTCTGTAATTTTGTTTTTATTTAATATCATTCTATTTTCGTAATTAGAATAGTTTCCACGCGAAACGGTACTTTGGGGGCACAATAATTTTGCCACAGCTTTGCATTATTATCAACAGCAAAAGCTTACCGATAAAATAATTATTTTAATAAATTGTATCGGAGTCCTGGTGCCGGTATTCCGTAAAATCCGATACTCGAATATCATAATAAAATGAAATGAGTTTCAACGGTGGACGAAATCATTGAAAATAATTCATTAAGCGTAGCAATTAATCACGATTTATAATTAATCCCGCAATTAAACACTTCGGTACCACCGATTCTTTATTAATATCATTAACGATACAAGCAACAGTTTTCATTTTCGCACCATTAATCATTAATACCTCCGATATTCTCATGCGCGCTGACAATTTTACACATTCAGGCACGAAAATTTAATGCCTGGGTTTAAATAAATACTTATTGATAAGTAATATTTTTAATAAAGCGATAAATTAAGTATTGAATCAAGGCAACGAGCATAATTTTAAGTAATAAATACAAATTGAAATTTTCACGAACCGTGTACGATAATAATTTCTTATTTCACAAAATACCGATGACTGTTTGAGAGTGATCTAATGGTGAATAAATAGGCAAGGTATAACTGCGGCCAAATTCAATTACAATTTGCTGCTTGTCGTTTTCGGGGGTCTATGCTAATACAAGCAATCTGAGGCTAATGAGTGGAGGATAGTATGACAGTAGGGGTGAAGTAACCAATGTGCAGCGACCCGGAATGATCTTCTCGAGCGTAGGGGCGTTGCTCGTATATTATCTCGCTATGTACCGGGACGATTCGCAACACACTGGGCGGAACGCAATCAATTTTGACAGAATTTCGTTTCCATGGTACCAGGTCGCATATCGATTATTAAAAACTGACCCACAAGTCACGAAACCGCGAAAGAATCGCCGAAAACTAAAAGACGATGCTCGTATCTTTCTTACAATTTAATTTTCTATCGCGATAATTTTGCAATTGGTCGACCGTAAGTCGCGGGTACAGTTGACCATCGAACGGTATGTATAGATCGCGATTCTGGCTTCCCGCAGTGCGGTAGCGAAAACACCCTCTTTCCGCTTACATCGTTTCGTCCCGCTCTTTCCCGCGAATATCTCGTACAGATGGTCAAACAGCAAGTGCTCCATAAACTCTGTTTTTATACGCGAGCCTGACGAATTCAATAACGGCGATGTCCTGCCGGGTTGCTTAACGCGCGACGTATTACGTTCACGAACGCATGTAACGAGTTTTGTATCATTGGCAAAAACGTTGGGGTCCAAAGATGAGAGCAGGGCGAGGAATCGTGACGAGTGATGGCCCGTGCACGGGAGAAAAAACGACAGAGACAAAGGAGAGAAACGAGAGAGCGACGGAGAGATCCAACTAACCCTACCGACATGTCAGCATAATGATGAAATATTGCAGGGGTCTCTAGGGCCCTACCGTGTACACCCCTGGTCTAGTCCCTCGTTCCCTCCATATTTGCCACCATCCTCTTTCAACTTTGTTCCTTCTTCCTCTTTCGTGATGCTTGCAGCCACCCGCAACCCCCTGCATTCCTGATGTAACTATGCTATTCCGTAGCACCCCCGGACCGAAACCGTGCCCATCCAGTTAGCTCGCTGTACACCGTACTCCCGCGAGGATACATGTTGCGTACACCAACGTATTCATACGCATACGTGCCACACCCTCCTCACACACCTACCACCAACCGACGGCCCGTAGGCGCATCTTTGCACATCAATTGCACGGACACTTTCCGTTTTTCTGCCGGAATATACCTTAGATTTACCACGCAAACCTCTTCACGCAGACCCAAACCGAAGAGCATTGCTGTACCGATAACCAGCAGTTTCTTATCAATCATTTGTTCCTTTATCTATAATACAACGTTATAGCAATAATCGGGATGAATTTGATCCTATGATTAAGAATTGGAACATCAAAATCCTTCAATCCGTTCAGGAGTTACGATTTTTTAAACATAAACATGAAATTTCTGTGAAATATTTGAGGCCACATGTTATATTTTCAGAAATGAATTTTTTTCTCAAAAGTGCGTAGGATTTCGGGGGTATGTGTATTCACCAAAAATGATTGTAATTAACCCCCATAACCGAATATATTTTTTTTTAAAGCGATTTGAAACTTTTAAATTTCGCCGAAAAATATCACATCTTCTCGAATTTTTTTGTAGAAAATGGGTAGGATTTCGAGGGTATCTCTATTGACCAAAAATGATTGCAATTGACCCCTTCAACTGAAAATAATTTTTTTAGAACGATCTGAAATTTTTCTTTTTCGCCGAAAAATTAAGGCACCTACCCCTGTCGATTTTTCATAGAAATTCGTTTTTCATTTTTAATAGATTTGTTTGACGCGCTACGGAAATTTTGTTCAATACTTTTTTGTAGGTACCCATGAGCTCTACTTCAGAAAAAAGTTTCATTGAAATCCATGCACTATTGTAGAAGTTATGGTCGTTTGAAAATTAGACCACTTTTATGGGGTTTTGCTCATTTTAAAGTCTTAAAGAACAGCTTTTCGAATATTTTTACGATTTCTACATATTCTCCATTAAAATACGCGTAGTTTGCATTTTTGAAAATTAAAATCCTTCAATCCGTTCAGAAGTTATGATGTTTTAAAGATTCGCATGAAAATTCGGGCAAACATTTCTGGCCTCCCGTTAGATTTTCGGTAAGGAATTTTTTTCTCGAAAGTGCGTAGGAATTCGGGGGTGTGTCTAATGACCAAAAATGATTGTAATTGACCCGCGCAACTGAAAATAATTTTTTTAGAACGATTTAAAATTTTTTAATTTTGTTGAAAAATTTGCCCACCTTCGACACTCGTTATAGAAATTATAACCAATGTCGAAATTGATAGGTTTATGAGAAGATGGTGTACAAAGTTCGGGGCTGTCGTTGCGCCACTTTCTACGAGGAAAAATATAAAGGGAGCTCATAAATAATTTGTAAGGGGTCGCGCACACTGACGTCCACGGCACGTGCGGCATAATTGTGCGTACTAGTTTGCACAAGTTTTTTCCTCGTGTCCGGTTCCTCGTTTCCTCCCTTTGCACCCCGCCAATGTTACTCGTTTTTTATTGTAAACAATATTAATCGAAAAACTATCCCGTCGACTAACGAGTAAATCTGAGATTGTTCTATTTACGAGACTGTAAACAATACCAACGACATTTTTTATCCATGACGTCTATTCAAATCAACTTCTAAATCTTTAACGCGTTATTTGCAAAAGGAAACTAACTTTGGGGCAAAGCAATCTTCGTAAAATCATGTTTGCTCTGGAGAGTACATATATTCTCTCCTCAATTTTCTTGTCTATGCAAACCTCCCTAGACAAAGGTTGATCTATCCCGAATTAAATTATTCAAGAAATAATAAAAATTGGAAGAAACTTCGCGATGTGATCAAGAGACGATGTAAATGCGATTACGTAAATTGAAAGCGTGTAATTGGTTTGTTTTCCAGATGAGCCATCCGGGGATGGAGAGTCTGGACATGCTGGACCCAGCAAATTCAATGACCACGTTGACGCCAATGTCGGAAAACACTGGCGGTGGTCCTGGACACCACGCAGGTATTCACGGGCCGTCGGTTTACGGGGGCATGAACGGAATGATGGGCCATCATCATCATCACGGAAACCTCGGCGGGGGCGGTGGGAGCGTGCCACATCCGGCGCACCATCATCCAGCGATGGCGGCGGCGGCTGCAGCCGCGGCTGCCGCTGGTTTGCATCCGGACGCGGACACGGACCCTCGAGAACTCGAAGCGTTCGCGGAAAGATTCAAACAGAGACGCATTAAACTCGGCGTGACGCAGGCCGACGTTGGAAAAGCGCTCGCGAATCTGAAGCTGCCGGGCGTCGGGGCGCTTTCACAGTCGACGATATGTCGATTCGAGTCGCTGACGCTCTCGCACAACAACATGATCGCCCTGAAACCGATCCTCCAAGCGTGGCTAGAGGAGGCGGAAGCCCAGGCGAAGAACAAGAGGCGGGATCCCGACGCGCCTTCCGTTTTACCCGCCGGCGAGAAGAAGAGAAAGAGGACGAGTATAGCCGCGCCTGAGAAACGATCGCTGGAAGCGTATTTCGCCGTGCAACCGCGACCATCCGGTGAAAAGATCGCCGCGATCGCGGAGAAACTCGACCTGAAGAAGAACGTAGTCAGGGTCTGGTTCTGCAATCAGCGACAGAAGCAAAAGCGCATGAAATTCGCGGCTCAACATTGACCCGAGGGTGGCTTGTGACAGCAAAACTGACCGTATCAGTTGCCCAGTCTCGAGCCCAAACCAGAACCTTTGACCGAGTTTCAGGGTTGGCCGTAATAAAAAGAACACGGCGTACGAGAAGATGGAAGACACTATGTTTCCAAGGAAGAAACAACCCGGTGTGCACCGTCGATGACGGAAGACGGAAGACTTCTCGGTATCAAGTGGGTTGACATTATGGTTGCTCGACACTGTGGTCAGACGATTGTCAAACTGTCACAGGCTTAAAACGAATTGACTGTTGTGTTGTCGTTGCGCGCGTACGCGCGTGCGTCATATTCTCGACGCGTCTCAAACAACAATACTTGGCTCATCGACTCCGCGAGTCTCTTCCCTCGTGCCCTGGCCATTTATTTGTAAGTAACACCCTTGGAAAACGTTCCTCACCGGCTCCCTACGGTCTGATCTTTATTTCGAACGCGTTGGAAAATGATTCGTTGTTGAGAAGAAGATGACCTTCGCTCGATACTATCAAATTAAGCAAGTTCTTGCTTTCCTATTCGATTTACTATTTTCTTGCTTACTTTCAGAGGAAATATAGATTATTTAGCATCTCCTTTCTAATTCCTGTTGACTCTGAATTAAAACGATTCTATGCGTGCGATAAAAGTAGAAAAGAAAAGCGTGGATGTGGGAACCGTAGAAATCATCTGCAAAGTGAGATAAAATTTGCGAAGGATATCGGCTACGATCGCGATAAAAGAGTTTACGATCGTGTACACCTTTGGAGCACCCTCTAGACTCGTTGAAATTGTCCTCGATGCCTATTTCAAAGGTTTTACCGAACTTTGACAGATTCAACGTCCATCTGAAACAGCACGTTTTAATTATTAACATGTTGACTGCCAACACCAGAGCCCGTAACATTTTCTGCGAGATTTTTGTACAACGTTCAACTTGAGAATTCGTTATCCAAGTTAAAACGCAAAAGGGATATATTATTCGCTTAATATTTCGTGTCTTTGAACTTCGTTACACGTCTGGGACGCGTTTTATAAATCATTCTTTTTAATCGTACCAATGTTTCTCTTTTAACCACGAAGAATACTTTTACTTGTGACACGTGCAATCGATAACATTTTCACAGAGAAAAGTATGAAAGATTTGGATCGGCGTGAAACGAATAACGAAAGAAATTTCAGAGAAGATGATACAGGTAAAAATTTGTTTGCGATATTATTAAAGGAGAAAAGAGGGAAGTTTTCGCGTACGAGGAAGAGCCAAATAACAAAAAAGATTGGCGGAAACGATCGTCGACGCGTCTTGAAAAGTACAATTCGAAACATAAAAATATAAAAGTACGTATTGTTATAAAGCCCGACGCGCGGATACGTCGCGCCGAAGAAATAAGTGATATTAATCCTAATGAAGACACTCGGTGCAATGTAAAAAGTGAAAAGATAGAAATGGAGAAAAGAAAGTATGCGTGTAACAAAAGTAAGAGTGAAGAACATCGATATATTTAATACTAGAATAAGGTTTTTACTTGAATACATCAATCTCTGTGATTTTATGTTTATGGAACGTAATTCCATAAATATTTACTTGCTATTTCAAATTTCACGAAGATTTTTCAGAAGAACATTACCTTGAGGATCTCTGTCAAAGTTTTCATCGCATTCTGAAACGATAATTTACTTGTTTCTCGAACGAATTTCAACTGAAAGCATATCTAAACGTAACTTTATATTTCAGGGAACGCGATCATTTCTTTAAAAAGCTCGAATCTCTACTATTTATAGAAATATTGTATATTTACTAGAGTCTGTCGCTGATTGTGTGTATCGTTTCAGAAACGTTGTCGACGACTTCAAGGTTTGAAAAGCTTCGAAAAAAAAAGGAAACTTTCATTTTCGTAATCGCTCTAAATAATGCGTTTGACGCTTAGACACGATTCATTCCAGTAAAATGTATCGATGAATAAGTTTGCGCGAGGTGAGAATGACCAGAGAGAAAGAACGTGAGAAACCATAATAGAGGAAACAAATAAGAGAATGTGTTATGTAGTGATATTGGACAATCAGTGAAAAGACTGTATCATATCATATTGAAGCAATACTGTAGTATTAGTCGGCGAAATAATGAACTTTATTTGTATTGTTCGTGATCGAGCGTTCCCGGTGCACTCGAAGGCCTTCGTACGATATGAAAAGGGTAAAAATGGCAGGAAGCGCTGTTCGATTAACTGTGTTTTTTTTTTCTCTCTCTCTCTCTCGAAACGAACCAATCTAAAACTTAATATTTTCAACGATAAAACCGGAATGGATAGGCGCATAGCAAATAAGATAGCTCGTGTTTACTCGCGTGAGCTGGGACCGCGTACGATCGCTCGAACAAACATCGACAAATTGATCCTACATGATTTTTTTTTTCTTTGAACTTCTCGTCGTGTCTCGCGATTTAGCGCGATCCATTTTTCTTTACCGAACGATTTCGCTGTCCCTCGACGACAACGAAATTTTCGATCAGCGTGAAAAAACGAAATCCTCGACCGACTGTGCGCTAAACATACTCGAAAGGGACACGTCGAACACGTTCCAATGTCGGTCGCGTGGAAACGTAGCCTAAGTGCTGATCACATACTAACCGCGAGAAACTACTTTCAGTGCCGAACGATCAAAGAATGAAAACTTTACGACGTGGACGAGTCGTTATACTCATCTATTCGCGTGCATCGAGCAATACCACAAGGATATTCGGCGAAAAGAAATAAGGCTATTTGTCATTATAATAGTTTTAAATAAGCGGAAGGATGGTAGTAATTTTCAAATTGTACATACGTAAGAGGATAGGTATTTTCTAGAAGAATAATAGTCTATTGCCATTCTACTAGATAATGGATGAAAATTGTAGTGCAATATAAAGTCTAACGACATTATTATTATTATTATTATTATAATATTCGTTAATTTGTTTCTTTGTTTCGATATCGTCGCGCAATATTCAATCAAAAAACGTACCAACTTGTTTTGAAAAAAAAAAAAAAACAGTCAACTCTTACTCTTCTTACGACAAATTTAACACGCCCAGGAATTCGTTTGATAACTTCGTTGAACCGACATTTCTGATTGCTTGTACAGAAACGGCATTCTTCTTACTAATAAAATGTTTTTTAGACACTAACGACAGGGTAAACAAGTCATATCGCAGTATGCTTTTAACAATTATTATTATCGTAATGTACAACTAGGAGCCTTGCTGTTTGGCGCGAGTAGGTATATGTGCCGTAAATACACTGAAAACTTTAGCACACTATTTTGCATACGTGTATACACGCGCCATTCTACGCGAAATTCATCACTTTTGATCCTCCACTTTCTATAAAACTCGAGTTAATCGTTTACGGAAGATACGAGCCTTCCAAGTTTGCAGTTTCTACCAATTTTTACGAAAATTACCCTTCAAAATATAGATTTGTTTCTTTTTACTTCTTGTTTGAATTGCAACAATGATTTTTACAACACAAAAATGATAAAAATATCTTTGATTTTACACGACAAGATAGGAAACCTGGTAGAGTGCAAACACTCGTTGAACTATGTTATAGTAGTTGGGAAAAGAGTATTTATTGCTATGGAAGTCTCATTGTTAATTATTTACTATAGACAAAATTATTATATTTATATTATTTTTCATATCTGTTATTGCGATCTTGTCTGTTGAGGCGAATGTTTCGTTGTTAAAGTTTTAATGGTGTTCCTGTTGTAATAATTGTTGCAATTGTTTTATGCAGTGCTCTCTGCTTTTGCTTCGAAGTATTATTTCAAATTTTCCATTTGTTTTGTTCTTTGTATATTTTATTTATGTTGAAGATTGTTCGTGTTAGTAATTTTATTATTGAAAACGAACATGTTGGGTAGAAAAGTGATCGATTTGCCGTGGAATGGCCCATTATACAGTCATAAAACGAAGAATGAAAAGAATCTGACGAGTGAATAGGAAGTCTATGTAATATTTCTCGAAGCAACGTGTCAAACGGACACAAAATAAGCTCTTTAGTTGTATCGTGTAATACAATTAATCGGTAAACGATATTGTCCTTTCATACGCGATTAAAATATAAGAAATTTAAACCTCTTTTTCGTGCATTCTGCGTGCCAAATACTACGATGCAACGTATACAATCTTATAAAAAAAAAAAACAATACATTATATTCAGATGCATGTACAATCCGATACGTCGTTAAACATAACGATTAGGAAACATTCTCCAACTTTTAACTCGTAGATAAATCGGGTATAAACCTTATGTACATACATTCTACACTTGCAATAATTGCAAATATACTCGTATTATAGACACGGGGCTGTCCACGAAAGCACAGCTTTGTTCTTACAATTCTTCCCAAATTTTAATAACTATATTCATTCAATTTAGTACTACTAAACAGACTTTATTAAACATTCGACAATTTTCGTTTCGTTAGAGATTTATTTGAATTATTTTTTTATTTATTTATTCATTGGACTGAATCGAATCATATCACTAAATATGCAGTATATTTATTTTATCGGAGACCACGTATTCGAGGGATAATTAAAAAAGAATTGCATCGGAATATCTAACAAGGGGCCAAAACATTGTTTTTTAAATCTCCGAAGTGTACGTTTATAGCAAATAAACCTATAATTCCATGATTTTTTTAACATCTTTAAAACTTATGAGTTGAAACAAGGTACATAGTGATTGCAATTAATTTTGAAAGCTTGCTGACTTGGATCGTCCTGTAATAACATTTAATAACTCCCGCGAAACTCAGTGCAAAGTAAAAAGAAAATATTCGAAAAGGTCGCGTATACCTACGTGCGCCAAAGTCGAAGATTCTTGTGTATATATACATATGTATAAATTATTTCTTTATTTGTAAAATGGTCGCACGAAGTAGCGACGTTTGTTTCGGATAACTAGTCAAAAAGCTGAAAAAAAAAAAACAATTTAACCGAAAAGTATTACGTTGACA